CTGAGCTAGATGGCCGCTTGTTTACCTTCAAGCTTTTAAGACCCCAGACGCTATATCTTTTGATAGCCGGGCACCATCAGCTTTCTTCACCAGATTGTACAACTCTTAATATGATTGGACAATTAAACTGTCTGATATGTGAAGTATATGTCCCAAACAATTTTAGATAAACAAGCAAACTGTGTCCTAGTGTATCTATGAAGATCAGATTTTTGGGGGGGTCTAGAGCAGTGGTTCCCAACCTGTAGGTCGAGACCCTGTTGGAGGTTAAAGGACCCTTTCACAGGGGCCACCCGATTCATAACAGTAGCAAAATTATAGCTATGAAGTAGCAACGAAAATAGCTTTATGGTTGGAGGTCACCACAACATGAGGAACTGTATTAGAGCATCGTGACATTAGGAAGGTTGAGGACCCCTGGTCTTTAGGTCAGAGAGAGAAGTCAGAGAGATTAGAGGCATGAAGGGCCCTGGAGGGGCCACATGGTCCCGAACTGCAGACCTCAGCAAAAGACAGGGTCTTCTGAAACAAGACAGAAAGAAGGATCATCAGAAATAGGAGGAGGAAATGTAGTGTGTGACTCTCCCCATGAGCCTGAAACCAGAACTAGATGGTGCCTGCCGGCTGCTGTTACTGAACATTTTGATCAAATATTCCATAGTAAAATCTTGATCAAAAGTGTGAGGGGGGGGCTTAGGCAGATGCAGAACAGAAGTTCAAATTCTCGTGGCCTGTAGACTTTCTGGGGCCAGAGAGGCAGGATCAATCCCCAAAACTATTATCCTGAGGTTGTCTTTAACACTTAAGCCAAATATTTCCCCCTGATGTCTCAACTCCAAACAAGGGTCTCACTTAACTGGTACAGCATGTCCACGTTGACCAAGCATTGAGCTCTGCACAAGCTGTCTGTGTGGGGTCAAATTCACAGCAGTGACAAAAAACAATCATACCAGGGAGTCTCTGCCGATAGGGAAGGAACCATTTGGAGTCGCTGAATTATACAGGGTTGACTTCCTGTGTCCTGTCATATTTGTTTAAAACAACAACAACAAAGGACAGGGACCCCTCTCACCCCACTGAGTCTTACCATCTTAAAAAAACAAAGAAACAAACAAACAAACAAAAACCTTCATGCTAGCAACAATCCAAAGGACCTTGGAAGAGGATCGCCAAGTCTCATGACCCCAGTTAACAGCAGGGTTCTAGCTGGGTGAGGCTCTGTGCAGAGAATTTACCTAAACTACAGAAACTGCAAGATCATAAGGGAAGCTGTTTTAAGTTTTTTAATTAAAAAAAAAAAATCAGATTCTCTTCCAAGACACGACCGTGTTTCTGTCAAGCAAAGAGAACAGTGTACAATGGACTAATAGTCTTCTCCCCCTGCCATTCCGGCCTCCCTGGAATAGCAGTGGGGAGGCCCACTCACGTGGGCAGAAGCATGCAGGGCGGCCAGAAAGGCCAGGTTTCCCCAGGGCCCAGGAAAGAGCACTGTGCCCACTCGGTGGAAATGTCCACACTCTCTTGCACTAACTGGAAATTAACCTGGGCTGAAACATAATCTCTGACACAAATCCCATCCAACTGGTTCCCCTGGTTTTGCAGCAGGGCACACACTGCCCCACAGTAGGACCAGGGGCCAGGAACCACTGCTCACCTGGGGCTCACACACACTCTCCAGTGCTCCAGCTTGCCTCCTGGGAGTCTATATCTTGGGTGTCCTGGGGACGAGTCCCAAAGTGCACCTGCTCTTCCTGCCCTTCACTCAGATTCTTCAGAAAGGAAGCTGAGCCCAGAAGGGCCTGACCATGAACAAAACCAGCTGGCACACGGGAGCTCAGTCTCCCTTCCATAGGAGCAATCATTTTGCAAACCAAGTTCCCCAGTTAGGCTGGGCTGACACTCTTCAACGCTGGCAGAGCAAACTCAAATTCCAAAAACGTTTCTCTGCCAGAGGTGACACCTCAAGGCAGGACAGTAAGAATCGGCGAGCTGTTGCGCCAGTTTAGGGCATTAAGCCACAGCCCAGTCTGCACTGTGACCTGTCAGTTCCCCACACTGAGTCTGTCCTGGGCAGAGCCCATGCTGACCCACTGCTGTGGGTCCATTCCCACTCATTCCACCTTACAGGACCAAGGAGAACGGCCCAAACGCATTCACATACACCAAAAGACTTCGCTCAAAGAGCAGAAAGCAAATCCACAGACTGGGGGAAAAAGTTTGACAACAATGTATAGACAAGGCACTAATCTCTAAAATTTACAGAAAGCTTCAACACCTCAACAACAAAAAGACGAACACATACCAAAAAACCCAAACTCAACTGCCATCTAATCTGGGTTTATAAGGCTATAAATCTTTATGGAAGCAGAAACCTCTCCCCTGAGGAGTGGTTGGTGGGTTCAAACTGCTGACCTTGAGGTTTGCAGTCCAATGAATAACCCACTATGCCATAGGGGTGTCTCAGACTACGATGGGGGTGGGGTGGGTGCAAAAACCATTGGGCACACTTGAGCTTTCCGAGGACACACACACACACACACACACACACACACACACATTTGCCCAGCAGACTCTGCCTTCTACAGGTCAGGGTGTACAGTTGCATCCCTCCTCCATCCTGTACCTGGTTCATACCAGGATGAGTTTCAAGGGTGACTGGCCAGGAAAAACAAAAGTTCAAATGGGAAAGGGTTGGTGAGTCCTGGAGCAGATGATGAGATAATTGAGCACTTGTGTGTAGCCCTTGACAGAAGAGCAAAGGGAGCAACTTCAGGCTGGCAACCACCATGGATGGTGCCTGACTCACAGGCTGGACCCTAACAGGTGCCGGGGAAGCCATCTGTAATACAATTAGAAAGCAGTGGAAAGGAGGAAGGTCCTCCTCCAGGTGAATTGACAGTGGTTGCAATAATGGGCTCAAACATAAAAAAAAATTATAAGGAAGGCTCAGAGCAGGGCATTATTTAGATCTGTTATACACCTAACAAAGGTGCCCTGGTGGTGTAAGATTCTGTGATTCCCAAGGTCAGCAGTTCAAAACCACCTGCTCCCTGGGAGAAAGACATGGCTTTCTATTCCTCTAAAGAGTTACAGTCTCAGAAACCCCTAGGGGCAGTTGTACCCTGTCCTTTCAGGTGACTATGAGTTGGCATTGACTCGATGACAGTGAGTTTGGTTTGGGTTTGTGGTAGTTACATAATCTGTTGTTAACTTGGGACTATTAAGAGTGAAGGGGTGAAGTTTAGCCTATCAATCAGGTCGTAGCTTGATGACCTTATTTGGAGGTGCTAAGGAGATAAATAGCTTGCTGGAGGTGGGACACACACTCACTCCCTGTGAGACATTCCTGTTGACAAGACACATGGAGCTCTGCTGATGGCAGTCAGAGCCTTGGAGCTGGAGGAGCCACATGGAGACCCACGCCAAAGCTAAGATGATTCCACCGCCACTGGATCCACAAGACTTTCCAACTACTAGCTTTTGATCTTCCTGCACTCGGTGTCATTGCATGTGTTTCATGAGTCTGAAGAGGAATTTACAGACTGGTATTGGACATATGGGCTAATATCAGACATATGGACTTGATCTGGACTGGGCTGGGATGTTTTCTTAATGTTTCCTATACACATATGAGTGTCTATGAATGTTTATCTAAGCTACCCAGACTAACACAGGTTTTAACAACTATAAAAGAAAACCTTTTTTTTAAAACCGTTTTTTTTAAAGCTTACACTTTCACTACGCAAGAATACTTAATCACGTTTTTTTCAATATTGGGTTGGTTTACTGCCATTCTTGGAGCCACTCACTTGGAAAAGATTAGCCATTAACCATAGGATTCACTGAGTCACACTGAGAGGCAGAAGCCAGGGTCTGACCCAGTAAGCCAGTGGGTTGCGAACCCTTTGGGGGTCGAATGACCCTTTCACAGGGGTTGCCTGATTCATAAAAATAGCAAAAGTACAGCTATGAAGTAGCAACAAAAGTAATTTCATGGTTGGGGTCACCACCACATGATGAACCGCATTAAAGGGTGGTGGCATCAGGAAGGTTGAGGACCCCTGGAGTAAGCACTCGCAGGCTCCCAACACTCCCTGCCCCGCGGCCCAGTGGAGACACACCTGCGGCTCTCTGGAAGGCGTCCACAGCACTCTCCAGGCCAGCCCGAGTCTGCCGGTTGCAGCGGGTCCCGATCTGTGTGTAGAGGGCGCCGATGTTGAAGAGCACGCTGGCCTTTTCCAGCAGCAGGTTCTGCTGGCTGACTGGGACCCCGGTGAGGGAGTCATACCTGTGTAAAAGAAACACCTTTGAGGACAGGGGTTACCTGGACGACTCGTACTTGAGCTGGCTTTGGAAGAAGTGCGTGGCAAGATAATAGATTTTTTATTTTCATAGACTTTTGGAAGCCCCCAAATTCCATTATTGTTTTTTTCACGTTCTTTTACATTGAGCTGTTTGAAGTCCTCTCAGACGCTTTGTAGTGAAAACAACAACAAAAATCCATTTCCTCGGTGACTGCCCAAAGGACACATGCAATGGGATTTTGGTTTCTGTGCTAGGTCACATCCCTAATTACTACCCTCACTGACCACGTGGAAAAAGGCACTCTCGCTGCTCTTGAGTCCGTTCCAAATCATCGTGACCCATGAGGCAGGGCGAAGCTGCCCCTCGGTTTCTAAGGCGCTGACTCTTGACCTGAGTGGAAAGCCTTGCCTTTCTCCTGTGGGGCAGCGCTGACCTTGCAGTTAGCGGCCCAGTGCATAATCATTACTCCACCAGAGGGCATAATAAAGGAAACTGTAGAGTTTTTGTTTTTTTAAGGTGGCTTCTCCTAAATGACATGTATCTATTATAAAGCCTACCCACTTTTCCCTGCAGTCTGTAAGATCCAGGACTGGTTGTAAAGCTCATAGGAGGTAAGTGAGCTTCTTCCTCATTCAAGACTAAAGCGGTATCGCTGACAGGGGGCCCGAGTGTATCATGATGGGGTGTCATCAACCTTTCCTGTCCAAAAGGAAGGCCTGACTAGCCGGCCACCACTGGCTCACACTGAATTCTGAATCTGCCCCATCCTAAAAAACTTTTTAAAAAACTCTCATTGCCATGGAATTGATGCTGATTCATAGTGACCCTGTAGGACAGGGTAGAACTTCCCCTTCGGTTTCTGAGACTAACTCTTTACGGGAGTAGAAAGCGCTGTCTTTCTCCCTTGAAGTAGCTGGTTGCTTCAAACTGCGGATCTTCTATCACCAGGCTACTGAACCTGGCTCCAGCTATTGGAATTTACTCTCCAGTCAACCACACTCCTATGGGCACTCAGAAAAACTCACCAAATTCACTGCCATCAAGTCAGTTCTGACCCATAGCAGCCCAGCAAAGTGGTGTGCTATTAAATCCTATTCAGTTAAATCCTATTCATCCTGAAGATCCTGGTCCTAGAAAAGAATCCGATGTTCTGCTTCCATTTGAGTTACGTGTGTGTGTTTAAGAACATGATGCTCTCATATATATACATCACAAATCATATATTATTGTTATATAATATGTGGATACCTGACTCCCTATCCCCCTACCTCAGCATCTGGAATAAGAATTTTTCTTCTTGCGAATTCTTCCTCAGAGTCCTGGTGTTTCCCAACAAAATGAGGAAGAAAAATGCCTCCTTCATTTGGGCTCCCTTGCTCGAAGAAACAGGAAGGCAAGGTTGGTTGGTGCCTGCTCCCCCACAGGTTCCCTTCATAAGTGAGTACCAGCACACTGCCCTCTCTCTGAGCAAATGCAGCAATCAGACAAGAGGGGGCTGCAGTGGAAGGGTAGCCAGCCTGCAGAGGAGCTGTGATGGCAGCTGATGTGGGGCACAGCAGCCCAGGACTCAGCACCTACCATGTGAACAGGATCCCCATGTGCCTGGTGGGTGGGAAGAACCGACTCTCCACAAAGCCCAGCTGCAGAAAGTAACTCATCAGCAATTCAACACCAGCCGCATCCCGGCTGGGCGTCCGACAAGCCTGAAATGAGAAGAACCCCAATGAGGGTCAGCGGAGGAGTGGACACAGCAAATTCCCTTCCATCCTGTTCAGTACTCGAGGTGTCTCTCATTCTTTTGTGGTCATTGGGCCCCACACTGGATTATGAATTCTAGGAATAGGAAGGGCCTTGGACAGAGTCAGGAGTCTTAGAATCAGCTTTGGATGCAGCAAGGGAAACGGATGTTTTGACTTCCTTCTCACCACCAACCACCTCTGACTCTGTGACAACAGGTGACCAGGAGTAGCTATTGTGAGGAGTATACAAGTAGGCTTCCGCCAACCTCCCTGCCTGCCATGCACACAAAAACATACCTGTCTCAGATCCATAAGGTCAGCGATTTCATCTTCATATAAATAGCTATCTTCACTGTAGTGTTCCAGGATAAAATCCTGTAAGAAAAACAGAGTGTGGTGGTAGAAGATGTGATTCAAGACCATGAATAAGGAAAAGCAATCAAGATAATAACCCTTTGGAAAGGATGTGTGGAGTACAGAAAAACATGGGCATACTCGCACGCTGTTGGGATTTTGGGACTGTATAATTCATGTTTTTGTAAATGTAAATATGTATATATTTTAAACTTATGCTGTTACTGCTTTAGTAAAATGTAAAGTGAAGTTTTTGTTTCTTTTTTAAAAATTCAAAGTGTCTTGTGAAACATTGAAATACCTACACATTACACCATCCTGACAAGCATCATAGATATTCTGGGGAGCAGACCTCCTTTGACCTCAGGGCTGCCCTCACAACCTGGGCACGAGGGCTTCCAGGCACAGGGAACTTATGTTCTGGAGACACTGCCCTCAGGGTCTGTGATGGGAGCCTTTGTGAGAGCAACGCTGGGCCCTTCCATAAGTGAATTACGCTGGTGGGAAGCCACCTCCACAACCTCGTGTCTGACACCTGCTATGTCAGTTCACTCAGTTATTCAACAAGTCCTACCTGTCCGGTGGGATCGCTACCGAATTCAAAAACCAACCTCACTGCCATTGAGATGATCCAAACTGGAGGAGGAAGAAGGAGCCTGGTGGACTGTGGTTGATAATTTGCCGGGAGCCCTAATGGTGTCGTGGTTACACATTGGGCTGCTACAACAAGTGAGCTGTTCACAACTACCAGCTGCTGCTTAGGAGAAGGAAAAGGCTTTCTACTCAGGAAGCGATGTATAGTCTCGGAAACCCACAGGAGCAGTTCTGCCTTTCACATCTGGTCGCTATGAGCTAGAATCAACTCAATAGCAGAGCTGACCTGCTACCTGCCAGGTGCTTCCCTAGGCAATCTCAGTGAATGAAAGACAGAGATTCCTGCCCTCCCAGAGCTTCGACTCTAGCCAGGTAACACGGAAAATAAGCTGCAACCCTAAGACCAAAGTGCATTCTACAGTATGTTAGGACACGGTCAAGGTGTGGTGGGCCAGTGGTAGAATTCTCACTTCCCGCACCAGAGACCTGGATTTGATACCTGCCACATGCAACTGAGGCCCAGACAATATTTTGTTCCATCGTGCAGGGGGCCTCCAGGATTTGGGGGCCTATTCAATGGCCTACTCAACAACACCCTCAAACTACCAATTCAAAATCTCTGGGGCCACTAGAGTTTGAGGAGATGGCGAGGATCACAGGGAAACGAAACGAAAGCCGAGTGGGCAGCCAGTCTCAGGACAGTACAGATGGTCCACATGCCTGGCTTGCTCACAGAAAGGTTGGAGAAAGCTCATGTCCACTCAAAGGTGCCTTGGAAGAAAGATCTGGCAATCTGCTTTTAAAATAGCCAGCCATATTCTATGATGCTCACCTTCCCGACACAATTGCTGAAGGCAAAGCAGGTGAATAAGCAAATGTGGCGAACAAAGCTGATGGTGCCAGGCTATCAAAAGACATAGTGTCCAGGGTCTTAAAGGCTTGAAGGTAAAAAAGCAGCCATCTAGCTCAGAAGCAACAAAGCCCACATGGAAGAAGCACACCAGCCTGTGCGATCACGAGGTGTCAAAGGGATCAGGTCTCAGGCATCAAAGAACAAAAATCATATCATTGTGAGTGAGGGGGAGTGCGGAGTGGGGACCCAAAGCCCATCTGTAGGTAAATGGACATCCACTTGCAGAAGGGTCACGGGGATCAGGTATCAGGCATCATCTGAACAAAAAATCATATCATTATGAATGGGGGGTGTGTGGTGTGGAGTGGAGACCCAAAGCCCATTTGTAGGCAATTAACATCCCGTTACAGAAAGGTCTCGGGGAGGAGACAAGCCAGTCAGGGTGAGATGTAGCAACAATGAAACATACAACTTTCCTCTAGTTCCTAAATGCTCCTCCCCCCTGCCCCACTATCATGATACCAATTCTACCTTACAAATCTGGCTAGACCAGAGGATGTATGTACACTGGTACAGACAGGAACTGGAAACACAGGGAATACAAGACAGATGATCCCTTCAGGACCAGTGGTGAGAGTGGCAATACTGGGAGGGTGGAGGGAGGGTGGGTTGCAAAGGGGGAACTGATTACAAGGATCTACATATGACCTCTTCCCTGGGGGACAGACAACAGAAAAGTGGGTGAAGGGAGACGTCGGCCAGGGAAAGATATGACAAAATAATAAATTATAAATTATCAAGGGTTCATGAGGAAGGGGGGAGGGGGGAGGGAGGGAAAAAATGAGGAGCTGATGCCAGGGGCTTAGGTGGAGAGCAAATGTTTTGAGAATGATGAGGACAATGAATGTACAAACGTTCTTTACACAATTGATGTATGTATGGATTGTGATAAGGAGTTGTATGAGTCCCAATAAAACGATTTAAAAATGTCGTTTTTTTTTTCCTATTTTCACACCAGCTTTTTGAAGCCTCTATTATACGTCTGAACCAACGCTCACAAAACCCTCATGAGGTACACACACACACCAAAACAAAACCCTCCTCACTGACAGTAGCCACCCTGTCAGACGGGGTAGAACTGCCCCTGTGGGTTTCTGAGACTGTAAATCTTTACCGGAGAAAGCCCTTCTTTCTCTCACTGAGTGGTTGATGGTTTTGAACTGCTGACCTTGGAGTGTAACCACTACGCCGCCAGGGTACAAGTACCCTTCTTTGGGAATGGAGCTAGATGCCCAAAGTAATTTGAGCAAATCCTTCGGCTAAGGGAAGAAGGGACAGGTGGGGATGAGTGATCACTACACATCATGGTACTTTCTGAATGTTCTGCCTCAATGCCCTTAACCAAAATCAATGAACAGATCAAGCTCTGTCTAAAAGCATTCAACCACTTGAATTCTCGGGCAGGGGAATTAAACAGTGTTTCTTAATGGAGCTGTTTTCAAGCCCTTCCATGTAAAACAGCACAGTATCCCATATTGTCGCTTGACTGACCACCGGGCATAGCGTGGGTGCTTCCACTGGAAAGACAGCTGGAATCGCCCTGGTTCAGGCTGCCCAACCACTTCTGTGGGACTTTGACTCCCAAGTCCAAGTGTGGTTGGGAAAAAATAGAAAGTCCCCGTATTTATTTATTTATTGTGTATGGCTGGCATTGGTGGAACCCCTTTGGGGCCAAAATGACATGCTGGAAGCCTCAGCAGATCACAGCTGGCTCTCTGACCTGCTTTCCTGTGGAATTTGGCACGTGACACATTTGGATCCATGAAGATGCCCACAGAACGTCCCTGTTTCTCCAGGAGAATCTCCCTGTAAAAGGCTCTGGCATGAGGCAGCAACCAAATCTCACAGAAACTATTCTACCCAGGCCACTAAAGACTGTTTTCACAGACACGGGCACTGTCACAAATCCCAGGGACCCCACCAATGCCATGGCTAAAACTTCAGCCAGAGAGCTTCCACTCCTGCATGACTCTTCCCACCCCCACCCTCACCCCCCCACCCAAAAATCCTTATGGGCCATCCTGGGCCTGGCCAGTCTACTGGCTTGCCTTCATCAGCTGTGAAATAAATCCCACATTTGTAAGACCAGGGCCTGGATTAAACCGCCGCCGCCAACACCACCCATCACCACACACTGATGCAGTGATTCCAGCCCTTGGTGACCCCAGGGGAGCCCGAGTAGAAGGGTGCTCCACCAGGCTGACAATGACCTATTTTCTGAAAGGCAGTCAAAGAGACAGTTTGGAGTGGGTTTTTGTTGTTGTTGTTGTTGTTGTTTTTAAATAAAAGTACTTTCAGATGACCCAACCAACAGCTGAGCTGTATTCCTATACTCCCAGCCTGTGCTGGCTGGCTCAGGGCTAGACCCCACCCTCCCTCCCCTCCATCACCCTGTTCTGCTCCCACATGGACATTTGATGTGATTCGTGTCACTCAGTCTGAGGGAGCTGGGGAGTCAAATAGAGAGCGAGGTGGGCATTCCAAGCACCCTGAAGCCCCTGTGTGCCTCTTCCTTTGATGTATTTCTGCCACATCTGCCAGGTCTGAACCCCTTGCCCCACAGAACTGCAGCCCCAAAGGCAGGGCCTGTGACATCACCCGCACCCTGCAGAGTCAGGCACTGACTTCGCACTTAGTGAAAGGGGTCAGACTGCTTGTCAGACACACACCATGAGGAGAAAGCCAGGCCCCGTCCACCTGAAATGGTGCGTGACTTGTGATGTTTATCTTACTACATGGCTAGTAAACAATCAGAGACTTTGTGAGAAAGGAACACACAAAAAAAAAAAGAACTGGAGGGAAAACCCCAAAAGGATAGTGATTAAACTATTTAAAAACAACGCAAAAAAGCAAACTCATTGTCGCCAAGTTGATGCCAACTCATAGCGACCCTGCAGGACCAGACAGAGCTGCCCCTGGGTGTCCGAGACTGTAACTCTTTATAGGAGCAAAAGGCCCAGTGATCTCCCTCGGAGGGGTGGGTGGTTTGGAACCGATGGCTTTGTAGCCCTATGTAAAACGAATGATGCCACCGGGGCACCTTCTTTTAAGGCGTGTTTTTGTGAGGTGTGGTTGAGTCCAATCCGACCCAGGGAAGGACCCTGTGAACAACAGAATGGAGCGCTGCTCAGCCCTGCGCCAGCCTCAGTTGTTCTTATATCTGAGCCCACGGTTCCAGGCATTTAAGAAGAGAGAACCCAGAAAAGTAACCCAACATCTATAACTGATTTTGAAATACACCCAGCCCCAAGAACAAGACGTGGATGACTGATAAAGTGGTGCACTGGCAATCGAGTGTGTGTGAGGAAGGTACTCTCATTCAAGTGCTCATGGTAGGCGCCAGGGGACAAATATGGAGGCTTTCCCTGTGAGAGTTTTCATTTTTCTCATGAAAATTACTGTCATAAAATGTTGATGGGTGGAATGTTGGCTCTTCTTTCAAATTTTTTAAATTCCAAAACGCACCCATACATAAATGAGAAAAGTACCAGGCAGTGTGTGGGCCTCCCCAGAGGGACGTGCACAGACCAGCAGGCCCCACTGGACATGAAGGCCGCTGGTAAGGGATGCGCGCTTTCTGCATTCAGTATCACACCCGAGTCCCGCGCTGGCGCTGGAGGTTTACCTTGAGAGAGACTGAAAAGTCCACTTCTTTGGTCTCCTTCAGGCCAAGAGGAATCAGGGGAATGGTAAACGCCTCCCTGAAAAACACACCAAGCTCTGAGACGAGCCCTAAGCTCGCCACTTTGCACCCCCAGCCCAGCTCCTGCCTCTCTCCTCAGGTCACTCCGCTGGTGGCCGGCCCTCTAGTGAGTCCACTCTGGCTGCTTCCCGGCCACAGTGCCTGTTCCTTGGGACTCCACAGCCAAACACACAAGGCCCCTAGAGTCTTGGCCCCAACGTTCCCCTCGGGGCACAACCTCCCTTGAAATCACTGTTGAGAGCCCGCTGTGCACCAGGGTCTGTAGTGTACCCTACTTGGGTACACTACCCTGCCACACTGGGTGTGACCTTCACCAGCCCCCACCTACCCACCCCCTCCTCTAGCACCATAGGGAGCCCACCGGACCTCAAACTCAGAATAAGAGCCCTCGGGGTTTCCTCTTCTGGGGGGTGCCTCTCTAGGTGTCCTAGACCCTTGAGGGAAGGGGTCCACCCAGTATTTCTGTGCTCTGAGCACCCAGCACAGAGCCAGGCCCAGGCCTGCAGCCTCCCATCCACTGGCCAGCTGGGAAGCCCAGCGGTTGCCCTGGGAGTACTCATTTAGGCCTGCATTCTCAGGGGCAGGACCCACAGGAAGTGACCCAGTTCAGGCCGTGTTTTGCAAATAGAGATTTAGCTCCCTGACAGGTAACAGGAGACCTCCTTGGCTGCTCAGCCCAGCCCAGGGGGAAGAGCAGGAAGGCTGTAAAGGGAAATGGCCCCTGTGGCCGAGGAAACCCCACTGGGCTGGGCTGCCAGCACTGAGAGGCAGCTAAGCGGGTGGGGAAGACAGAAGAGGAGGCAGATGCGACACTGCCTCTCTCCTCAGGGGCCCCAGCGCCTACCATACTCACTCCACTAGGCCGGAGGAACAGCAAAGGGCCCCAAGCCCCACACTAAGTGTTCCAGCCCTGTCCTAGCCATCATATTCTATATGATCCCATATAGTGAACGGTCTACCTCGTCCACTTACTGCACAGAGACCCTAGAAGGCAGAGTATAACTGCTCCTCTGGGTTTCTGAAGCTATAAATCTTTATGGGATCATACTATTGAAGTGTATGATGTGTGACTTATATGCCACTAAAACTGTTAAAAACAAAAACCATCACAAACTTTATGGGAGCTGAAAGTCTCATCTTTCTCCCATAGAGCAACTGGTGGGTCCGAACTGCTGACTTTAAGGCTAACAGACCAGCATGTAACCCACTGCAGCACCAGAGCTGTTCACCTCCGACGGAGGCAGCGAAGGATCAAATCTGCTCTGAGAGAAAAAGAAGGCAGAGTGGAGGGTGAGCCTGCACTTCTCTCTCCTTTCCTCCATGGTCCAGGGAACCACGATGTGACCGCGCAGAGCTCTTAACGGCATGCCTGCATGGGAAACCCCAGAAATAGACAACCCTGTTTCTGATGAAACTCTAGCTTCTGCCTTGCCTCCTCAAGGGACTCTGAGCTGACATTCTAGGCAGCTGGGGGAATTCTGATCTTGTTCTAATTATGTATTCAGGACCCCAATAGGAGTCAAAGGGAAAGAGGGGGCCTGCCTCTGAGCCAAAAGAGACTGACATGGAATCAGTCCTTTGGGCTTGGGGACTCCTGGAGCCTCGTGGCCCAGGAGACAGAACTGTAGCACCAGAGACAGCAGGAAGCAGTGGCAGCAGGACCGAAGCACTGCGGCCGGCCGGAGGTGAAGGATGCTCCTGGCCCACACAGTGTGAGAGCTGAGCTGGCCTTCCATCAGAGTGGGATGCCTCTGGGCACTTACTGGTGGGCTGAAAGAGCAGTGGAACATGTGTTCGAGCAACGCAGGGGCAGGTTGAGGGGCCCAAGAGGCCCAAAGGCCAGAGGGAGGCTTGCCAATGGGCATGACAGAATAGGCTGATCTGACCCAAAAAATGTATCCTACATTATTCCTGAGCCTGAGTTGTAATCTGTTACTTCCTTAAAAAAAAACAGAATTGTGTGTGTGTGTGTGTGTGTGTGTGTGTGTGTGTGTGTGTGTGTGTGTGTAAAATACCTGTTGTCACAAGGAGAAGAAAAGAGATCTCACATACTTACATTTTTTTCTCTGGCTCTGAAACACACTCAACGAGCAACATAATAGAGCATTCCTGAGAGGAAGTGTAAGTGTGTGAAAGGTCTTCCTTTACTTCATCCAAGGAACTTTTTTTTGACAGGCTTTGCCCTAGGGCTCCCTTACCTTTGGAGAAGTCTTGTTTCCTTGCATAGGAAAATACAAAAAATCCTCCATTGGAGTTTCTCAAAGTTATTTATTCATAAAGATGGACATTTCTTTCCAAGGTCGCTCACCATTTGGGTGGGTAATTTCCTTGGTATTCTGAGATTTTCTGAGGGCCATATTCAATATTCTATTGAGAAATAGTCAATCAACATGGCCCTCATGTGACGTATTATAAGTCTGGATTCTGTGCCTGTGGCTATAATCCCATTTTGGAGGGAGTTCTTTGCACAGGATTAAGGTGGGATTAAATCCTGGACATTAAGGTATGAATCAAATCACATCCTTTGCTTACCATGGGGTATGGTCTACTAAAAAACACCCCCACGAAAGCCATTCCTCTGTATACGATCCTTCTTGGACAAAGAGAATTCCCACAACCACTGGAAGAGCACATTGAAGATGCCACTTCTTTCTGAAATGGCAGAGGCCAAGACTGGAGACCAGAGACAGTGGAGGCTCAGAAGAGCAGCGCTAACACTATGGGGTGACTCCTTTTCATGGGGCCTGTGTCTAGGTGACTGTGAGCCAGTATGAGAGGCAGGCTTCTTGGTCCAAAGAAGTGGAGGCCAAGGGACCACGTGGCAAAGGGGCTGAGTGCTGGAGAGAGATTTGGCTACTGGCTGAGGACCAATAAATGTATCCATACTGTCTACTGATCCTGACTTGTTATAACCTATTAACTTCCCTAATACGAGAAAATCAAACCCACTGCCATTGAGTTGATTGAGACTCACAGCAACCCTACAGACAGGGTAGAGCTGCTTTCTGTGAGTTTCCCAGACTGAAACTCTACAGGAGTAGAAATTCCTGTCTTTCTCCTAAGAAGTGCCTGGTGGTTTTGAACTGCTGACCTTGCAGTTAGTAGCCCAATGCATAGCCAGGATGCCAATAGGGCTCCTTCGACTTCCCTTATCAGCCCCCGGAATGGTGGGTTCTGTCTGTGAGCTCTGTGTAGCTACTGCAGTGAGTTACAGAATCTAGGTGGAAAAGTAGAGAATGCTGTTTAAAACAGAACATATCTGCTCCCCGCAAACACTCCTGTGGAAAATCTTTGCATTAGAATGTCCATTCCTCAAATATCTGGCAGGCTACATTTCTGTTACACCACCTCCTGAAGGAAGTCGCAAAAGGTCCCACAATCTGACGGAGAAGATCCTGAGTTAAAGCTTTTATGCCTTATATCAATAGAAGGCCCCAGAGTCCGGCCCTGCATATAGCGGTCAGGCAGAGTGGAGAGGAAAGCAGTGGTGGAGATTGGTGGGGGAGAGAGAAAGAAAGAAAATTCAGGCCCCACCTGACAGGTCAGCTCTCAGAGCTACCCACAGAAGAGCTTCCGGGCCTCTTCATGACAATCGCCACTCGGCCTAGACCCAAACACATAGTTCTCCCATAAAGCCGTGTCCAAAGACGTACCAGGACAAGCGCCATTTTGTTCAGCTCTCCAGGCACTTCTCCACATGCCACAGGTCTCATTCCTTTAAACCTAGCACCCCATGCACCCCCCAAGCCTAGTCATTCCCATCTTCCAGAGTGGGCGCTGCTACAGCCTGGGGCCCCTACCTCCTACTCAGCCTGTCCATGGGCCTGCCCCTCCCACAGGAAGTGCTGTCCACTTACTCTGCACCCTGATAGACGCCCACTGAGATGTTGAGCCCCTCGAGCTCTTCCTTGAGCATCTGTAGGTCGGAGTTCACAAAGCTCAGCTCCAGCCGCACCTGTTCCCGCACCTTCTGGTTTGTGGCTGCCCTGTTGAGAGAAGGGAGAGAGGCGCCCTCAGCTGAGCCTCACTGGGCCAGGTTAGCATACCCCCCGCCCCCCCACTCGCCCCCCACTGTGGGAGTGCTAGATGTGGCCGCAACAGGGGTCTCGTGATGTCTCTGAATCACCAACACTGAGCTGACAAGCACGAACCCTAAGACAGTCTGCAGAGATTAGCCTTGGGAAGAGGAAAGAGAACTGCTTCTGATCACCCCCAAAGTCTGTAAGCTATCCCCTTAGAAGGAAATGAATGGGAGCAGAAAAGACAGACTTCCGAACTCCTAGAAGCTCAAAAACTCCAAACTCACTGCTTTTGAGCATAGTGACTCTACAGGACAGAGTGGAGCTGTCCTGGTGGGTTTCTAAGACTTGAAATCTTTATGGGAGTAGAAAGCCTCATCTTTCTCCTTCAGAGCAGTTGGTGTGTTCAAAATGCTGACCTTGTGGTTAGCAACCCAACACGCAATCCACTATTCCAGGGCTGTCTCCATAAGGCTAATATTACCTTAATCCCAAGCCAGAGAAAAACATCTCTCTCTCTCTCTCACACACACACACACACACACACACACACAAGACCAATATCCCTCGTGAATATATTCCTAAAAACCATCAACAACATATTAGCAACCCGAACATGGCAACATATAAAAATTATTACACACCATGATCCAAACCCGCTGCCAAAGAGTTGACTCCCATTCATAGCGAGCCCATCTATATTGTAACGTGATACAGAATTGGCTGCTTTCTCCGCAGCAGCAGGAACCAGAAGGATGTTCATCTTTCCCACTTCTAATCAGTACTGTTCTGGAGGTGCAAGCCAATGGTAATCAGGCAAATAAGAGAATTAAAGGTATCCAGATTGGAAAGGAAGTAGCAAAACTATCTTTGTTCATAGCTATAAGAATCAAATCCACATGATGGCATGATCCTGCTTATAAAATCCACAAAGACTAGAACTAGTAAATTCATCATGACGACAAGTTATAGGATCACTATGTTAAAAAACTGGATTTATTTTTTTAATGGTTTTATTAGCACTTTATCTACATGTCATACGATTCAATAATTCAGTACCATCAAGAAAAGTTGTACAATTGTCGCCACATTCAATACTAGAACATTTTCTTCTTCCTTGAACTCATTGTTATTTATGTCATTATTTTTTCCCTGATTGTGGCAAAAATACACGCAACAAGGCATTCTCCAGTTCCACAGTTACTACTTGCCTAATTCCGTGCCATTGGTTACACTGTCCGTGCTGTACAATCATTACTGATACCCTTGTCAGGAGTATTCCACCACCAGTGACAAGCTCAATGATCTCTTTTCCTGTCACCCATGGCAACCATTGGTCAAGTCTGGTTTCTTTTCTCGTTTTTCAATGGTTTTCTTGATATAGTATTCATAGATCATACATTTCCATAGTTAAATTGCTTTTAGAATGAGTTGTATACACATAATCACAATCAGTGCTAGTGCTCCCTCCCTGCAACAACTGTATTTCTACGTACTAGCCGGGCAGCATCTTAAAATGAAATTAAGAAAACAACTGCATTCACAATACCATCAAAAGGAACAAAACACTTAGGAGTAAACTTAACAAAAGAAATGAGAGATATTTGTCCCGTAATGGCACAATATTCCTGGAGATTAAATAGAGAGACCTTCCATGTGCACGGCCTGGAAGACTCACTATTGTCCAAAGGCGAGCCTTCCCAATTGACCAAAAGAAGTAACACAGTCCCAACCAAAACCCCAGGAAGCTTTCTAATGGAATTGACAAGCAGGACTCAACGTTTACTTGGAAACGCAAAGGGCACAGAAAACCACCAAAAACAACTTTGGAAACGAAGAACAAACTCGAAAGACTCGGGCTGTCTGATTTCCAAACTTACGAAGCCCAGTAATTCAAATGCTGCGGAGCTGCCACAGGGACAGGCAATGGAACAGGACAAGTCCCAAATAACTCTTCACACTCATGGCCAACTGGCTCTCAACAAGCTATCGAGAGAAGTCAATGGAGAAAGGTTGGTCTTTTCAACCAATGGTGCTGGAGCAACTGGATAGCGATACATCCGAGGTCAGAGTGCCCACGACCTCCCCCAGGTCCAGCGATTTGCTAGGATGACTCACCATATAGTCATACGCATGACCATGACTGCTTTCAGTGGAAGAGCACAGAACACAAGCAGCAGAGGACGAGGGAGCGGAGGTGAAGACCAGAAGAAACCAGGCATGAGCTGCTCATGGTCCCCTCCCCACGGAGTCACTCAGGATGCGCACAGCTGTGACCAACCAAAAAATCCACTCACTGCTACTGAGTAGAAGTTGACTCAATGCGACCCGAAAGGACGGGTAGAACTGCCCCTGTGGGTTTCCAAGACTGTAACTCTTTACAATAGAAAGCTCTTCTTTCTCCCGAGGTGCAGCTGGTGGTTTCGAACAGCTGACCCTGTGGTTATCAGCCTAATGCAAGTAACAATGCATGCAAAATGTGGTCCACCAGGGAAATTCTCCAGAAACTAATGTGGTAGGTACATAATTTCATGTCACTTTGAAGATATAAAAGTGTAGGGGTGGTATTCAACCTGTCCATCAGGTCACAGCCTGATGATCCCCCTGTGGACATGGCCTTCTCATAAGGAGGTCCCTGGGAACCTCCCCTTCTCTTAGCCTTCACCTTCCTGCTGGCTGACCCCAACCAACTGCTGCCAGAACCACTGCCATTGAATCCACACGACTTTGCACCCAGCAGCCTGTGATCCTCCTGCATGCTGCATCATTGCATGTGTCGGCGTGCGTCTGAAGAGGGGCTTCTGGGCTAGTATTGGACTTAAGGACTTATGTAGGGCTGAGCTGGGATGCTTTCTTGATATATAATTACTTCTTGATATAAAACTCTTCCTTACACGTGCATGAGTGTCACTGGATTTGTTTCTCTAGTCAACCTGGCCTAACACAAAAAGTAACAAGGATTTTCCCCAGGTGCTGGTCCCATAGGCCTCTTCTACCTAGCAAGGTTCAAAACGCCCTACTCCCAGAGAGAAAGCAGGTGCTTAGCATCAACTCCAGTTTGAGAAGTTTGGATATAAACATTGTTCTTAGCTGCTGTTGGGTTGGCCTCTGACGCCTTGGGATGCCATGCACACTGAAATGAATTGCTACCCGGTCCTACATCATCCCCATGACTGGCTGTGGCTAGAACCACTGTGATCCTTAGGGTTTTTTTACCTGGATGATTGGGGTGGGGAGGGCACAAATGGGCAGTGGATAGACATGCAGTGACTTACCCAAGAGTTGAATGTGGGCCTCCCAAATCAAAGGTGACAACTACCCCTGCCTCACCTTAAACAGTGAACCACCCTTCACTGATGTCCGCTTAATGATGCAAATCTGCTGAAGTCTAAGTTTCCAGATGCTAACCCAGAAGCAACCTGGTCAGCAAGTTTTCCCAAGAACAAATGAAACGCAACTTAAATCACATAGCAAAAAAATAAGTCTCATAGCATGCACAAAAGCGGGTCCGAGACCTCAGAGTAAAAGCTGAAATCCCTCTAAAACTTCTGGGGAAAGTCTTACTGACTGCAAGCTGGGGAAAGTATTCATAGACGTCCACCATACGCACACTTTGTAAGAGAAGAAACTGATCAAGTGCACTTTGCCAAAAGGATAAATGTCTTAAAGACTCAGACGACGACGCTAACCAAATGGAAAGACAGGTCAAAGACTGGAAGAAACAATTTAACAGTAAAACAAAATTTCTTTTTTTTTTAATGGACAAAGGAAATGATAAACATTTTATTTTAAAAGTTATATTAATGGTTAGTAAGCAATGAAAAAATGATACTCAATATCGTTAGTCATTAGACCCACTGCAATCAAGTTGATTCTGACACATAATGGCCCTCTCTCTAGTCTCCACAGCTATAAATCTCTACAGGAAGTGCAAAGCAAAACCACCATGACATACCAGCACACACCCACTATACTGGCTATTTCTAAAAAGACAATAACAAGTGCTAAGAGTAACTGGAACCTTCTACACTGCTAAATGTAAATGGTACGGCCACTTTGGAAAACTGTGGCAGGCTCTGAAAAATAAACGTAAACTTAGTATACAACCCAGCAATTCTACTTCTAGGAACCCATGAACGAGAAGTGAAAATATGTCCACATCAAGACAATTATATAAATATCCATGGTGGCCAAAAGTGACAACAATACAAGTGTTCAATGGATAAGAAAAATGCGGCATATCTATAGAAAGGTGTTCTCTGCTTTCAGCCAAGATCCAGCTGACGTTAGCAACTGTATCCTTCATTTCACTCTCTTCTACATGCAGCTTGAGTTTCTGGCAGTCCCCTATCAATATACTGCTACAACCGTTTTTTGAATTCTGCTGGATTACCCTTCATTGGAATAGGCAACATGGGCACAAATATGGATCTCTTTTAATCATTCAGCCAGATATCTATGTGTATCTTCCAAATTTCTTGGCAAAGATGAGTGAGCACTTTCAGTGGTGCATCTATCTGTTGAAATATGTCAACCCAAGAGGAAAGTAAAAGGAAATGGAGGAAAGAACTAGGAGGCATAGGACATTTACAGAGGTCTAAATACAGGCATGTACATATGTAAATATATTTATATGTAGCGATTGGGAAATAGATCTATGTACATATATTTGTATGTTAAGTAGTAAGGTAGCAGACGGACATTGGGCCTCTACTCAAGTACTCCCTCAAAGCAAGAACACTTTGTTCTAATAACCTGGCATTCCATGATGCTTAACTTCCCAACCCAATTGCTGAAGACAAAATGGGTGCATGAGCAAATGTGGTCAAGAAAGCTGATGGTGCCTGGCTATCAAAAGATATAGAGTCTGGGGTCTTAAAGGCTTGAAGATAAACAAGCAGTCATCTAGCTCAGAAGCAACAAAGTCCACATGGAAGAAGTACAACAGCCTGTGTGATCATGAGGAG